ACTTTAGGGTGATTATTTGGATATTGAGAAGCTCTTAATCATTCGTTGATGCTCGGTTCGTATGGTCTCACATCCTAGAACCCAAATTGAAGAATCATGGAAGAATTAAAGATTTGAAGTTCATTTCAACATGTGTCACGCTTGAGGCTCGGATCGCGTAGTTGCTCGATTTTGGAAGATTTGAAGTGGGTCATCAATTCCTAACTTTGAGGAGGAGAATGTTGGGGTACAAAGTTATCCATGTATGACTTTGTAAATGGGTTGAATTTTGTAGACCCATTTGTATGTCGTGCATTAGCCTTGTGACATGAGATAGAGAGTGAGAGAGAGACATGTAAACACCTCTATATAAGGTGGGTTTATTCTGCATGTAGAGGTGTGCTTGAGAGATGTAAAATTGAGTGTGTAAGTGTGTGTTATTTATGTAGATTTAGATTAGATCCCTTTTTGTAACACCATACATAATCGAATGCATCTCTTAAACACCAAAATCACCATGTTCTTTGTGTGTTCTTTAATTCCGCAAGCCAAACCATGTTCATAATTCACATCAGACGTGCGTGTCGAGCATGGCGTGCAACTCTAATCTTTTATAGAAATTCATATATTCCTTATATGAATCTTGTTTCTTACCCTCTTTATATATTTGTATAGCTCTCTACTAGTACTACAACTTTCCTTAAGGTTGCATTGCCAAATTCTAACTTATATTTTTAACTCGTATTTTATATTATTCTAAAAATCGTATCTTCTTTATACGAACTCTGTTTTGACCTTTTTCCTTTTAAAGTTCTTATCTATCGGAGTACTACGACTTTCCTTTTAGTGACGTTAGCCAAAACTCAACCGATTTCCTTATACCATTTTGACATTAATTGTGTTATTAACATGGTAGATTTTTACTTTTAATAAAATCATAACTCCTCCAATCGGAATCAGAGTTTTACAAAGTTTATATCCTTGGGACCACTTTGATGTGCATTTTACAAGTACACTAACCATTATTAATAGCGACCCTATTAACCTTTTTTTTACTTAAAAATCGTAGTATATCTGATCATACTTTCCCAAAATATGAAAAACTTTTTTTGTTATTATTTGTCGATGCTAATCTCTAGTGATGGTCATTGACAAGATTTTCCCAGTTGTCACATTGTGTATCATATAAATCACCTTATGCCAAACTCCAGAACTCTTAGTTTTAAGCCACCAAATCCATTTAAAAAGCAGAGCAAGGTTAATGTTTTTCAAAGAACCGAATCCTAATCCCCGTTTTCTTTGCTAGCAAGAACCGTCTACCAATGGACCCAAAAAATCTTTGACTTCTCGTTGTTACCTTCCCAAAGAAAGCGTTTATGGATGCGTTCAATTTCATTGATGACATACATAAGAGCCTTAAATAAAGAAAAATAATAAAGGGGAAAGCTCCCCAGTACGGATTTGACAAGCGTTAAACGCCCCCGAAAGACAAGGACTTGGCTTTCCAAGATGAGAGTCTGATTTGACAAGGGTAAAATGTCTATTTGAAATATGTTTTGCATAATTAAATGTTTTTGATGAAAATGTAATAAATGTTTTGGGCCACAAACCCGCGTATCTCACGAGACATTTTTGTCTTACGTATCTATTTTATGCCATGTATTCTAGGATGTACTTAAGGAGTGAAGATGATAGGTTGAAGTTAAAAGTTAAGAGGTAGAGAATGGAATGGAACTTGCCAAGTTCCTTATTAATGGTATTGATGTAATTCATATTTGCTTGCTATGGTTGTATTGATGCTTAAGGCTAACACCTAATGCTTTAAATGTAAATATTTTGTGGGACTGAGTTTTTATTAAATGCGTGTTAATTACGAAAAAGATTTTATAGTCATAGCATTTTAAAGTTTGAAAAATATCAGGGTGTTATAGTATGCAGTTGAGGCGAGATTCCTCAAGCAGTGTCATGGGAAGCACATAATAATAAGAAGGCATGGGCGATCGGTGATGTAACGCCTATTCTAGGTATCAGTTAATTTTTAAGTTTTTAGGGTTTTGCACTGGGACTCGACAAGTTGGGGAGCCCAACTCGACGAGTAGAGATCGAAATTGGACGCAGTACTTAAGGTCTACTCGACGAGTTGGAAGGCCCCAACTCGACGAGTAGACACTGTAAAGGAAACCCCTAATTTTCAGGGGTTTGTACCCTATTTAAGGAACTTATGGATCATTTATGGCCTCCCTCATCCTCCTAACTCTCCATAGAGAAACCCTAGCCGCATTTTAGTGCTTCTTGAGTGTGTGTGAGCCTTAGAGAGTGAATCTTGTGCTTTTTGGAAGGAAACTTGACGATTGAAGAGATTGAAGTAAGGAGAAGGCCATAGATCCGACATCTACTCTGTTAAGGCAACCATCTTGAGGTATAATGTTGCTACCTTGATCCTTATTTGATTAGATCTCATCTTATGGAAGTATATTGTCACTTTTGGTGCATAATGGTGTTTAGACTTGTCATGAGGATATGGTTCCAGATCTAGACACCTCTAGGTCTTCATGGACACAAATTTGCTTCCTTTACCTAGTCTAGGCCCTTTTCCATGCACTAAACATTGTATGAACCTTAGTTTTAGTGCTTTAGCCTTTTGAGGCCTTGCATGCATGTAAAGTTTGCAACTTTACGTGGTATTTCAGTCTTAAGGGACTGGATCTGTAGTTTGGAGGTTTGGATTCGACTGGAAGGACTGATTATGTTAAGACAAGGGAAAACTCAACGAGTTGCCTTGGCGACTCGGCGAGTTGGAGCGGGTTTTCCCATTTTTGGACTGCAGGGTAAACTCGGCGAGTTGATAAGGTAACTCGACAAGTTGGATCGGGGTTTCCCCGATTTTCTGAACACTGAAGGAACTCGACGAGTTGCTAGATGTACTCGACGAGTTGGGTCAACATGGACTGTTGACCTTGACTTTGACCATGGTTGACCATTTTGAGGATATTATTGGTATGTTCGGACTTTAACATAGTCATATGATGATTGTAGGTAGTTGAGTTAGAGCTGCGCGTTCAGACTTATCTGATCTTATCTTATCAGTTCAACATTTGTGAGAGGTGAGTCTTCTCACCATACCAATGGGTCTAAGGCACCAAGGTCGGCCCATGTTGTGTTATGTAGATTATTGATTGATTATGCGTTATGTTGGTATGACATTTGCATGAAAGACCCTGAGGGGTTCCCAGGGAAATAGATTGAGACCATGTGGGGGTTCCCATAGCAAGAAGACCATGTCGGGGTTCCCATGGCAGGTAGTTAAGACAACGTGTGTGTTCCAGTGGTATTAGGTATAAGACCTTGGAGGGTTTCCATGGCATCCTTATATGTTATATGCATGGCTTATGTGGTTTATGTAGCTTTTATAGCTAATATGGTTTATGTGATTATGTGGATTGTGTGGGGTATGCTCTAGGGAACTCACTAAGCATTAGCTTACAGTTTGTTGATTTGTTTCAGGTACTTCTGAGCCTAAGGGCAAGGGCAAGGGCTTGATGGCGCGACATGTACTCTCCCGTCATTTGATGGGACACTCTGATATTTGAAATAAAATGTTGATGTTATGGATTTGAAAACAATTGTCTTTGATATTTCACATTTTATGGGAATGTTTTGAATAATTAAAAATGAAAATTTTATTTGGAAATTTAGGTTGTTATAGGTGATATATAATCCCTACAATTTTTTCGTATTTCTCACCTAGTTTGTTGATCAAGTACGTTACCAAGTTCTTGTTGGGACATGTTCATCAATGTTTGCAAGTAGGTCGTAAACTACTTTAATGCGTTTACAGCAGTCGGTAATGGAAATATCGCCAATTTGAATGGTGTGTAAGTCATTGTCAAGTTTCATTGATCACACATCTTCATTGTCTAAAATAAATCCTCAAGACTCTTCCAAACATCTCTTGCGGTAAGACTATTCTTCAATATGTTCTGAAGCAGTGTTTTATTGATAACTTCAAAGCTTCACCAACGGGTCAAGTTTTATCATTTGTTGATCAGGATTGCTACGATCGACGACACTAAGGTGATCAAGCTTATCAAAACTCAACTAATGTGTTTCGAAAAGCTCATGCAACACCTCACAGTTGGGCTCGCCTAAATTTAGCGCAAGTGGACGTAGGCTTTGCTATTCGTGATTCTAAAAAGGTTTTTTTGGAAGTTTATTTTTCTTCATGATGGTCACGACAACTAGGGTTTCTTCGTATGGGGGGGGGGGCAGTAGCTTATATAGGAGACATATAGGATCGATGATAGAAGAGAGAGAAGAAAAAAAAACAAATTATAGCTTTGATATTATGTAATCAAACGTATTTTCTTATAATTATATTGATTCTCATTTGTCAAAATAAATAAGATGTATCAATAGATATGGATTTACAAATACAACTATGCTAAATGATACATGTACACTAAGGGCGTGTTCGGCAAAAATTAGCTGGTAGCGGGTAGCGTTTTGTTAAACGCTACATGAAGTAGCATTTAGATTCGAAACGTTTTGTTTAAATTAAAAGCTAGAAGCTTGTAGTGCCGAACGAGACTTTTTGTTCAAAATGGAGCGTTTTATCAAACGCTCCGTGCCGAACACGCCCTAATATTAATTTCAACAAGACAGGACAAGATATAAAACGATACATTTTTTATTGTGAGGCAAATTGTCCGTTAACGTTTTCTGAATATCTTTATATATAAATTCCCTAAGTATTATTAAAAAACTATATTCTAAAAAGTAACAACCAAATCATTTTGCACTAAACAATTTAGAGGTTGTGATGATGTACCACTAGTTTGGGGCGTCGATCTAGAGGGCCTATTGTAGACCCAAATCCCGAATCCTCTTTGCAAGATTGAGTTTAAGTTTTAGCAATCACAGTGTTCTAGTTCTAATTTCATGTTCTAATGACAACGAACTAGCGATTAATAAGTTTATAATTTGAAGATAAACATTATATTAAAAAAACATATAATTATTATTTTCCCAATCATAAATACATATCTATTTCTACAATTTTCCCATTTCCTAATAATATAATTTCCCATTTCCTAATAATATGAAAAAGAAGCCGAAGGGAACTTGTCAAGAGCATGGACCACCTCTTTCATATGTGGTCTCTTTTGTGGGACAGGTGATATACAACCATAAGCCACTCTTAGTAGTGCCAACAAAGCATCCTCTTTACCCTCCAAGTCAGCACGAATCGCCACATCAACCATCCGCAACACCTTTTTCTTCTCTTCAACTGTCAGCGTGGAGCTCCACGTCATGCTAGCCGGACCAAACTCATCTGATATAATAACCTTCCCAGTCAAAAGTTCAAGCAACACCACACCATACGAGTACACATCCCACTTTGGACTAGGCTTTAGACTTCTTAGAGACTCTGGGGCATAATATGGTGAAATGCACCCCATAGAACTTGGGCTAGGGCTCGGGTTTGACCCCATCACGATATCTGGGAAACTTTCTCGAGAGGTATTCGACCTTTTGCTACCAAAGTTTCGAGTCGATCCACCTACTTTGTAACTTTGATCGCCTGCTAGCAGTCTTTCAAGCCCGAAATCTCCTATCTTGGGCTCCATATCAGATTCTAGTAAAATGTTACTTGGTTTGAGATTTCCATGGACTTGTTTCTTATCATGGATGTACAATAGTCCACGAGCCGTGCCCTTTGCTATCTTGAGCCTCACTTCCCATGGTAGCGGAGAAGGTGAAGAACCAACTTTCTCTACAAAAAGAACAAGACAATAAAGCATGTCAATGAACATTCGATTTTTTTGAAGATAATACTATTTGATTTAAATTATTTATTTACTTGCCTAACATCTAATATATTCTTCAATCAAAGAATCTTATGGTAGTTATGGACTAACACTAGTGATGAAACGAGTAAGTGAAGGAGACGTGTTAAAATTTAAATAAGTTGAATAAGTTTGCCGGTTTTGTAAATTTGGGCCCCCAGTAATTTGTACAATTGACAACTCCAAAACCTTTTTTGCTATCATACGCCATAGGACAAAATTTAAGTGATACGTAAGAGTTGACTTGCGGTACATTAATAAAACAAAGGGTTCAGTTACAACTACTCCACTATCGGTCCCCCGTCAACAGCTCAGTTTAGCGATAGTTATGTCGGAAAGCTAGATTGCGCATGTGCTTGCTGATTTTAGATTGGTAGGTAATTAAAGGAAATGGAGTATATAATAATGGATCTCATTCTAATTCAACATGATTACACTGATAAGAATCTATGTTCTCTATTATTTTTTCCTATAATATTCATAAATAAATTCCAATCTTGTAAAAAAATGCAATTACATATTCTATATTCAGAAACAAGATGGCATATTTTAATCAATTTCTAAGAAAACATAATACTTTAATTATCTTTTATTCACAACTTAAATTAAATACGTATAACTCAAATACTTAATTATAACGAAAATAAGTCGAAATATATGTATATTATAAAAATAGTCTAAAACTCATTTAAATTTTCCTCAAGTATCTACAACTTCAAATTATTTTATTTAACAAAATCAAATATTTGTCTTTAACGATTAACAATATCAAGTAATTGTTTTTTGAAAAATACTTAACAATACTATCTAGTATATCAATTATTAATGAAATTAAAAAACAATAAAGAAAAAAAAATGTTAAACTCACCATTTTTCATCATGCTAAAAATTCACTTTCTAATGTTACTTTATACGTTTCCAGAAAAAATGTTACTTTATAATCATTTTTCCCACCTGTAAATTATTTTGGACCGATTACTTTGTAATTAAAGTTTATGGTACGTTTTATTAAAAGTCGTCACTCTATAGAAAGCGCTAACATGCACATCTTGGGAATGCTAAAATACGCATAACAAAAAAAATCAAAGAAAGATGACTCACTGTAACGTGCATTAGCCAAGCTGCCATGGGGAACGTAGTCGTAGATTACAAGCTTCTCATCCGCAGCCCAATAAAACCCACGGATCCGAACCAGATTCGGATGGACCAGCTTCGCTATAACCCGAACCTGGTTCTCAAAATCCTTAAACCGGTCTAACCCGTTTTCACCGATCCGACGAACCGCTAACATGGTTCCATCTTCCAAAACCGCCTTGTAGATTATACTCGAACCAGTGGTGCCAAGAATATATATGCAGAAGCTTTCAACAATGTCTCAAGCTCTAGCTCCTTTTCACCACCATCAACAGTCACCAATCCCCTCTTTTCGACATCTTTACTTACCGGATTGTCGAGTTTAATGGTTTCCGGTGGCCTACTTTCGGTGTCGGAGTTTTCCGAGCTTGAGTTTTGGCTTGATTCTTCTCCTTCTTCTTCTTCATCTTCTCCTCCGGTGTTTCTTCTCTTCATTAAACATGCCCATGAACGTAGCCATTTGTGTTCTTCTTCTGATGACCCCCAATCGTATTCCCTGTTTGAAGCTTTAGCTTCATCTTGATGGCGATTTGATGGAGCCCCTCGTCGTTTTTTCACTATGTAGATGAAAACCAGAGCTAAAACTGCGACAATGGCGATGTCTCCGACGACGATTCCGATGATCGTGCTGGTTTTGAATCGGCTTTTTGAATTTGAAGAGTTGTGTGAAGGAGTTGAGGGGAACGATTGAGGGATACCGGCGATAGCTGGAGTGAATGTTGTGGAGTTGGGTCCGGTGGTTGACGTAGAGGAGGATTCGCAGAGGTTTTTTAATGGCTTCCCGCAAAGCTCTGGGTTTCCGGCGAATGATTCTTCGTCTTGGTTGACGAGAATGTCGGATTCGGGGATTGCTCCTTTGAGATTATTGAATGACAAATCAATTGTCGCAGTTATTGGAACTTTGATCGCGAATTCCGGCGGAATCTCGCCGGAAAGATTGTTGTGTGAAATGTTAAAGTAAACAAGATCACCACTACCGAACTTTTCCGGTAACGAACCGGTGATGGAGTTTTTTGACAGATCCAAAACTTCAACAGACTCAAACCCAGAAGGAAGTTCACCGGAAAACTGATTACCAGTCAAAGAAACCACCGTTAAGTTTGAAAGCGCTGCAAGATTCTGCGGCAGCTTTCCCGTCAACGAGTTACCAGACATGTTAAGATACCTTAAGCTCCGCCACCCTCCGACGAACTCAAACTCGCCGGACATCAAGTTGTTTGAAAGATCAAGAGTCTCGAGTTCAGGTGCATTGTACAAAGACAAAGGAATAGACCCACTGATTGAATTATTCGAGAAGTTCACTTCCCGAAGGTGTAGAATCGAACCCAGATTGGCGGGAATGGTGGCGGTGAGTCCCGAACTAGGAAGCGATACTCCGGTGACACATGTGTTCTCACAGACGACGCCATGCCATGAACATGGAGTGGCGTCGGTGTAGCTCCAGGTGTCTAGAACACCTAAAGGATCGTTTAAAACAGAGTATTTGAAAGAAAGTAAACGAATGCCATCAGTTGTGAGTGCAAAAGATTGATGAAGAATGAGAAGAAGAAGAAATGGAAGGGTTTTGAAGGATGAATGGGGGTTGATCATGATCATGATCATGGAGGTCATGATGTTTCAGAGGAGGAATCGCACATCTCCTGTTGATGTAGGAGAAAGAGAGGGAGATGTGAAATAGATATATGACACCTATAATAAGTCCGAGCAGAATACCATGTGATGATGAGTTAAGTAAATAATTGTACGATGGAAATGAGGAGGAAATTAATGTAAAAATAAAGGAACAAATATGCTATGTGATAATGTGATTACACCTTTTTGGCAATGGTACAAAGATTTTAAACCTAAAATTATATTAAATTGACCAAAAGAAATTATGGATCGTACTTATTATTTATTTCGTATCAATGACAAGATAATTATAGTTGATAGTATGAAAATAATTTTGTTTTTTCTCTTAAATTTTAAAGGAAATTTCAAATTTGGTATGTGTGTTTGTGTTTGTCAAAGTTGAGGTTCAAGCCTAAGAACAAATTTTATACAAAATATCCCTATCACAAATGCCATGTCATTAGTGTTTTTAAGTTGGAGTGACACTTGGACATATGACCTGTCAAATAGATTAAAAATGACTAAATTGCAAGAATTAGTCGATTTCTTGGCCTTTTCTATTAAAAAAAAGATTTTTTCATAAATCTTTCCTAAATAATGAGATTTTTTTTTGAAAATTTCCATTTTTTCTGTTAATTTTTATTAAATAACGAATTTACCATCTATATGTATATTAAAAATAATTCGCATATGTTCTTTCATCGGCAAGAGTAACACATCATTCCTCTCGCATGTTACTAATCTCCCACCATCGGGGACTCTATCTCGTTTACATATTCTTAAATAAATAAAGCGATTGTCAAAACCTCAATTAACCTTCTAATTTTCTTTCTAAAATCGTCCCAACTAAACTATTTTCAAGCTTTCGAAACTCTCTAATGAAATTCTTAATCACACACCATGATTTGTTCTCTTAAACAACACAACATCTTCCTTCTTTCCCTTCAAAAGTCAAAATCCACTTACCAATTAACCTATTTCTCTATTTAAAGCCTCAAAGACACTTTCTTTTTTTTCCGTTAGAGTTACTGAAAAATGGGATCGAAGTTGCCATTGCTTTGGGAGGAGAAGAAAGATTTTGATTCATTGGTTTCGAAGGAGGAGTTTCTTGGAAACAAAGCTCCAATGACGGATGCAATGACCCAAATAGGTTTTTAGGACTTGGGATAGTTGAATTAGGGTTTATTTTTCAACTTTAATTCTATGCAACTTCAATCTGTGGATTACATGCTCTTTTAGGCTTTAACACTTATTTCATTTCAAAGCTTTTAAAAACAGGCTTCAATTACAATTTTAAATACAATAAACCATCGAAGAACAAGGTGAGATTGGGTGAGGCATGCTTAGTAATAATGTAACATCCTGTTTCGAATCATTTCCCATTTTGGGGTGGTGATCAGGGATTGGGTATTAGCAGGCTTAGGACCCTTGAAGAATTGAGTTTGGGCTCATTTGGAGGTGGATGATGTATTTTGAATGATTCGGGTATACGGTTTGTGTTTTGGAGTCAAAGGGTATATCGATAATTTGTCAGCTCGGGCTTCTATGGAAAATGGATGTTTATTCGGGATTTGGTAAGGCAGGTACGAGTTGATGGAAGTGTTGTAACATCCCAACCGTCAGGTATCCTTATTATTCCATTTAGATTTCATGTTTTACGGTCTACTCGACGAGTTGACCCTATGACTCGTCGAGTCGCAGCGGGCCATGACACGTCAATTAATGAGTGACTCGTCGAGTCGGCATGGGGGACTCGACGAGTAGGAGCTGGCAGTAGAAACCCCAATTTCAGGGTTTTTGCACCCTATATATTGGACCATTAGCGCCTCCCACTGTCCTCTATCACCCCTTGAGAGCCAGAAACCCTAATTTCCGTGAGTGTGAGCTTGGAGAGTGTTTTGGAGCTTTGAGAAGTGATTTTTTGAAGGGAACTTGTAGATCAAGAGGCTAGCATCAAGGGTTTTGTGTGGATCCAGAGTCTACTTCAGCTTGGGTACGTTTTAGAGGTAACCAGCTGTCACCTTAACCTCTTTTCTTCTAGAATCATTCACAGGTGAAGACTAGGGTTTTCTTTAGCTATTTATGAGGGGATTATGGTTTGGGAGCTAGATCTGAAGTTGAAATTTCAGATCTAAACCTCTTTTGAGTCCTAAGTCCATAAAGTTTCCAGCTCTTGCAAGGATGAGACTCTCCTAAGGTGTAAAGTTCCATTAGAAGCTTAGATTGGTCATTTAGAGCCTTTAGGGCCTTGCATGTGTGTAAAGTTTGCAACTTTACATGATAATCATGCCTTAGAAGCGTGGATCTGTAATCTGGAACCTTGTCATGGCTTAAAAAGTGTCTGCATGGATGAAGGTCTGCAAGGACTCGGCGAGTTGCATAGTCAACTCGGCGAGTCTTATGAAGATGGTTATGAACTCGTCGAAATGATGAACAAACTCGGCGAGTCCGTTGAAGATTGCCTTGAACTCGGCGAGTCGTTCGAAGACTCGGCGAGTCGGCTAGGGTTTCTCCCAATTCTTGGACACGTATGAACTCGGCGAGTAAAAGGGGAACTCGACGAGCCAATCAAGGATTTCACGAATTCTCGAGTTCAGGAAGGACTCGACGAGTCGGTAAACTACACTCGACGAGTCGAGTCAACATGGACTGTTGACTTTGACTGTGGACTTTGACTTTGACCAAGAATTGACCAGTTGACTACTGAGGGTATTATGGTAATTTGGAAGTTTATGAAAAAGGGTTTTATGGTAACTATAGGTGGTGGAGTTCGTGTTGGTGATCCGAGAGTTGAGCTTTCTAGTTTCAGACGTCAGTTGCGAGGTGAGTTATCCTCACTATATCAATAGGGTCTAAGGCACCAAGGCCGGCCCTTATGGATTTGTATTTGGATTATTACATGATATGTGCATTGTTTCGCATCCTGTTAGTCAGGATGGTGATATGCTTATGCTTAGTGGTCGGGTTCGGTCGATATCCTAGTTACAGGATTATGCTATGATATGACCTGGGTAGGTCGGTGTCGTGGTTTTAGGACGTTGCTAAGCTATTTGATCTGTTAGATCGATTTGTCTGTTATTATGATAGCCTATGAATGTATATGAACATGTTGTTTGATTTGGGTGTTGGGTTGAGGCGGTCTGCTTTTTGCTGAAGGCCAACATACCCAGGGCGGTCCTGATAGACTACAAGACCCAAGAAGGTATGATAGTCAGACTGAAGGCCCGGCGAGCGGTCCGGATAGGCTGAAGGCCCCGCGAGGCGGTCCAGACGTGCCGAAGGCTCGGAGAACAGTCCAGATAGACTGAAGGCCTGCGAGGCGGTCCAGTCAGGCTGAAGGCTCATTATGCTTGCTGTTTGGTTATATGTTTATATGACATGGTTATGTGGTTGGTATTTTGGGGGATAGCTCACTAAGCTTTCAGGCTTACAGTTTCAGTTGTTGTTTCAGGTACCTCTGGTGATCGCGGGAAGGCGAAGGCATGATCGTACCGCTCCTCTCGCTGTTATGACTTTTATGATTTGATACTGGGATACTCTGATAACTGTATTTTGAAAACAAACTATGTAATGACTTAATGGATTAAAATGTTTTAAAAGTTTAAATTGGCTTGAATTTTTGGGCGTTACAAGTGTAGAGCTTCTCGTTACCTTTTTATGGATATAAGGATCTTCAGAATTGGAATTATAGCGAATAAGTTATGGTATTCAGAATATGTTAAAGTTTATGGAGAAACCCTAGTACGCGGGGCGTACCTAGGGAGTATGCGGGGCATACTCATCCGAAGGGCATTACGTTGCGCGTAATGTTGAGTACCTAGAAATCGTCTCTAAGCCTCCATGGTTGTGAGTTTGAGCTCAAGGTGTGCATTTTGGTGTTTTGGGTCATTTCTAAAAATATGGAGTTTGATGCAAGATTGTGAATCAAGGATGAGCTTATGGATCTGGATTATACGCTTCATTTCCAGCTGGTTTGAGGTAAAAAGCTTTGATCTTGTTCATTGTTAGCTTAGATCTAGTTTGTATGAGTTTTTGGTTCATTTTGATCCCAAGAATGAGATCTAGTGGTTTCGTTCCACTCCAGGAGCTATGAGTTGCCACTCTTGGTGTTTCTGAGGTTCTAGATGCTTAAAGTTGTCTCCTTTAGGGTTTGGAATCCCCCATGCTTGAGATGGTGTCCATTTGGTGAAAGTATAATGCTTTATTTTGATGTTGGGTTCTTTTGGGGCATGTAAAGTCATCAAGTCAATGACTTTATTGTTGGATTAGTGTCTAAGCCCGTAACTATATTTGGTAAGTATTTGACCAGGTTGTGCATGGTCCTTTTGGGTTGCCTTCACCATAGCAACTTGATATGGTAATTTATGGAGAGAGAGAAGATATTATTATTTATTAATATATTATGAGAATAATATATTAAAGGAACAATCATATTATTTAATTAGTATTAGTCATAAATTAATTGAGAATTAATTTGGTGACTAAAAGAGATCAATTGAATAAAGGGGCTTAAACTGTCAAATGTGTGATAGTTGTATTTTGGGTTGGGAAACCTAATGGATTAAGGGGTGGACGAAATTACGGGTGGGAACCCATCTAGATTTCGTCCAAGGCCTTACTCCAGAAGGTTTCATGGGTTGCTTGGTGATTAAGTTGTCCATTAGGGTTTTGACTGAAACCCTAACTGCTCACAGTATAAATAGGACCCTTGGGATATGATTTTCGGCCACTTGTTCTCCTGGAAACCCTAGAGCCGAAAATCATAAGTCCTTACCCTCTCTCATATTTCCCTCTTGCCAATTGGTGTTTGTAAGCCATTAGAGGAGTGACACTTGTGACTCTAAGCTCCAAGACAAGAAGAATCAAGCAAGCACAAGAGGTAATCATCTAGATCTGAGTTTCTTATGTCAAATTCGAATTGTATACACTAGATCTAGGGTTTACAAGACTTGGATAAATTGCATGTACAATAGAGAAACCTAGATCCAAGCATTAGGGTT